TGAGATGCTAAGGTAACTTTAATTTCATATAAATTTGTTTTACCTCATAAAGATTGTGAACTCTTAAGATTAACATGTCACATACAGGTCAAATTGTGAACTTCATGAATTTGTTCTTTTACTTTAGGTCAAATAAGGCTCTTAATATAAAAATAAGGAGATGTGGTATGATTGCCAGTGAGACAACTATCCACCAAAGTTCAAATGAAGTGGATGTAAGCAATTATAGGCAATCATTTGTCTTGTTTGTCCTTTATTTATCTGTGTAGGGGCCTCGGTGGCCGAGTGGTCTAAATAGTTACTACTGTAATCACTAGCCAGTCAACACTGAGGTTGCGAGTTCAAACCCCGCACGTGCGGGTGCACTCGACTCCAATCTTAATTGACTAGGATTGTCAGTTTTCCTATCTAAGGTTAGTAGTTTTCCAGCTTCCTCCACCAATAAAAACTGGCCGCCACGATATAGCCCAGAAGTGGTGCTTAAAAGTGGCGTTTAAACACCAAAAATCAAAAAATCAAATTTATCTGTGTAGCACAGATATATTTCAATTGTTGCACTCAGAATTTCTTTTTCTCTTTTTCTTGACTTTTTACCCTGAATCAACTGATCACCATTAATGAGCAACACAACAGGTGTCAGAATTGGAGCAGGAACTGCTTTCCCTCCTTATCACTTGGGTTTAGTTTGGAATATGGATTAAAGGAGCTATGGGGTGAATGTAATTAAGACAGCAACCTACAACAAATTTTTGTCTTAAAAGTTATTTATAATTGAAATAACTAGTTCATTTATGATGGAAAAAGAGAGGTGAATGGCCTGGAGTCAAGTTATGACTGAATTCAACAGAGACAACAACAACTGATAGCAGTTTTAAATTTATACACGAAAACATAAAAGAGACAACCATTGAGTTTATTCCACGGAATCATCATGTTGTGGGGTTCAGCTTGTTTTTTAAGCACTCAAATCTCCAATGCTGATCTGAGTCAATTTGTACTGTTTAAACGCATATTGTTGATATTTTAATCTAGTCTTTAATCTAGTCTTTGTTTATACACAGACACGTGAAATGTAAAAGCTAAATTGGGTGAAAATATGAATCAAAACTGAAAGGAAAAAGAGGAGGCTCCCAATGACATCCTTAAAAATTAATGTATTAGTTATAGTTTTGTTCATACAAAATGTTTTGGATTGTTTACCACCAGACATTGATAGTTTTGAGGGATGCTGAAAGCGGTTGATACAAATTTTAGTTAGTGTCAGAAATGTCATATTAATGTAGATTGTTTTTTAACCATTCATCAACACCCACTCACAGATCTCCAGTTTATGATAAAAGCAATCAAACATACTGAAGCTTTATGGATTAACTCCCTTTGTTTTCACTAGGAAGCATTTACAGAAGATAAGCTATTATTGGTTAGAGTCGAGGTCTTCTCCAAATAGACAGAATCTATCAAATATGAGATAATTGTTCTATTGTAAATAGGATATTGATGTAACGTCAATATTTGGCATCGGAGTGCAATACAAGGCAATTGTTAACGATATTTAAACAGAGTTTTATTGATTATCTATACAGTGGTTCAGCATACAAGTCATTTTCACAGGGGAAATTAGGCTGATCTATAGACTTGTTAAAGCACTGTTGCTTTACTCTATAAAGTAAAAAAATGACAAAACATCAAACTTTCACCTCGTGATTCCTTTGTGTATTTTCTTAGAAGAGTATCCTAGCCTTTCCGTACTGACAAACTGTCGCCAAGAATATCTTATTCCTCTTGGCTTGATTTTATAGCATTAAATCTGTCTTTATTGATAGAACAAATAGGATTATTAATGATAAATGTAAATTATGTTGTTTTACGTATTGAATGGTTAAGCATTGACACTTAGATAAAGTCTTGTGATTTATCTTTGAATATATTTTTTTAAAGAAACAAAAAAAAAATATGTTTGGTTTTTGAATAAAACGGAGAAAACAGTAGAAAATATCAATAATGGTTAACTTTGTCAGTTTGTACTTAACAGTCTTCGTGATAAACTTTTGAACCCACAGGATCGGAGGTCGATTTTACAAAAATTTTACATGCAAACCCGGCATGTTTGGAAATTAAAAAAATTTACTTGTATTTGCCTTATTTATCATTTTGTTTAAAAAAATGTTCAGATCATACAATTGTATAACAGGAAATTTGTTGAAAACTCAGACAACAGGAAGTTGTATATGCGAAGTATGCATATTGTTGTTAAGTTATTTCTCTCATTAAGCCGTTGAACAGAAACATTTTGTGATGAAAGTATCCAACACTTTAATAACCTTATACCCTTATAGATTTGTATTGCCAATGAATATAATCAAAGCTTCAATTGTTTGGAACTATTGTTATTAACCGTATTATCAATATTATAAAAATTTGCCCTCTAAGTCATTTCCATATAAATTGATGTCAGTATCGAGTTTTGTATTACATCTTGGTTCATTACCGTTTGAAGAATTATTTAATTTGTTGATTGTTCAACAACTTGTCATATAAAACTACTTGAAATACAATCATTTTCTGCATTATTAAACAAATAAAAACAGGAACTGTTCACTTTGGTATGAAATTTACATTGATGTAAGTTTGGTACAATGCTTTGCCTCTAGATGCATAATCAACTTTTCATTTTTACAATCAAGTTCAATAACAGTTTGCTTCAGTATTAATGTAGCAGGGAAAAAAATAAAATTGCCAATAGATATTATCACTCAATGTATGGCCCATTTTCAAAGATTCTCAATCTAATTCATTCAATAAACTTGGCATAGCAATCGATATTTTAGGTCCCTTTTTTTTTAACAGGCATATTTCTTGTGGTTTTTTTTGTGTCTTTTTTTTTAACTGTTTGAATGAACAGAAGATGTATTGTTGATAAACTTTGTGGAAAAAATAAACAAAATTAACGTATAATGAAACGTTGACTTTGGGTAAAACTTACCGATTTGTTAAATTCAGACTGGTCATAATGGAACTTTGTATTAATTTCATAAGATAATGATTTTTTATTTAGAATAAGGTTTCAGATTTAATTAATTCAGTTGATATGAAATTAATGCTTTTATAACAGTCAGAGTTGAGTTTGTAATTATATGATAATATCTGTTTGACGGTTATCTAGATATAATTACCCTGTAATTACTTTCAAATGGTATTGATCTCTACAGGACAGGGTCAGTACAAAATAATAGAGGGTGGGATATTATATAACATTATAATATGCATCACACATCACTGGCTCAGTTAATATGTACCAGTAGATTGAAGCAATTTGCCGGTCAAATGTAGTTAACATGTAACTCCTCCAGACTAAGTCTGCTGGCCATATGCCATTATAACGGACATTGATATTACGTTTTTTGTTTGTTTTTTACAAAGGAAAGATTTTATTTCGGTGCATTCGATACATACTTTGAGGCAATCCCAATATTCAGTCTTGAAATGATTGCAACTATTACTTTTTTAGAATGTATGATTTTGATTTGTATATAATATCTATTTACTACATGCACTCTGTAACTGTTTTATATGTTCTAATGGTACATGTTCACTGAACTATCATGACTATACGATAGTGAACTGACTATGTGTGAATATGTTGTATGTTTGCTTTTTTTCTCTTATTATTATTTTTTTACTTGTATTGTATATGAGGGCCTCAGGGAAGATTAGTAATTGTAACTAACTGTGTTTACCCGCTTTAAATAAAGAATTTATTAGTATTATTATACTTTTACGGAAATAAATTGATGAAAATGAATGATGTTGTGGGGAAAGATAAATTGCTCAAAGCATGGAAGAAATTTTTAATTTTTGAGGCAACACTTCGATGTTAATTTTTTAAATTAGGTACATTTCAGTGTTACAGTGATAATTTATGATAGACCATTACTGTTTGGTTTGCAGCTGCAATAAAAGCCAAACATGCTAACTGCAAGAAAAAGGTGGTAGGCAACCATTTGTAGAAACACTGCTCTTATGGTCTAAAAAAGAGAGAAATTTATTTTCTTGAGGATATTTTGTATGCCATTGTTTTTTGTTTCTTTGTTTATGACAGTTATATTTAGAAATTTATTTCTGAGAGAATTAAACAGCAGGAACATACATGAACAAACATCTGCTCCAGCTAGAATTCCTGAAATACTCTTTTAAGTATAAGCCTTGCTAAGAGTATTAATATGGTTCAAAGAGAGATAACTTATGCATACCATTAACATTTGCAAAGCTTGGTAATAATAGGGACAATAGAAATAATATTTCTTTATTTAAAGTGGGAAACACAGTTAGCTAGGAAACTAATCTTCCCTGATTTAAGGTACTGAAGATTTCATGCTGAAAAGTCACAGACTGAATTTAATGATATTAGTTTTAAATAAGATATTGTTTAGTCTGTTTAATAATAATGATAATAAGTATGGGGACTTAAACTAAAATGACCAAATTTTTTCATCCTTTTTCTGAAATGAAGTTCTAGAATTATAAATAAAATCATAGGTTACTAATTTTGTTTTCCAGATACAGATTGTGAAAAATTGGCACATTTTATGAGGATTATTCAGGGAAAAAGCATTATTCTGTAAATGGGTCACCATACATATTTATTGCGATAAAACAAAATAGAAAAATGTACTGTATATCATTATGAATTAAATTATGTGAGTTATCTCCCATTATTATAAAACTATGGTTTTTTTTGTCTTTTTTTTATATCAATCAAAAGATCTTAGGTATTTAACTGTCATAATAACATGCTAAATCATAGGCACATAAATGTTTTTTATCTAAATGAAAAGTCTTTTAGGTAGATTGCAATCCTGCATCAAAAATTGCTCATTTCATTAAAAAAAACCTGATTGTTTTCTTCTAGGACCTAGGATAGTGGGAGACCCCCAATCCCTATACTACCTGCATTTATCGATCATTTGATTGCACTGATTATGAATATTTTTACATTTCAGCTTTTAGAAATTCCAGAATACCTGCAGAAACAGCTCCTTTATCTGACCCTATTTCTATTCTTCGAGTGATGTGTGGTGCTCTGATCATGCCAACTATTGCTACCATTGCAGGCAAAGTCATGTTTGGAACTGTCAGATCTAACTTTCAAAGAACTCTGTTGGTAGGTCTTGTAATGTATTAATAGTTTAGTATTCTCAGAAGAAATTTTGGGAGGGCGTTGCTAAAGGCAATCTTTCTGTAGTTGGGCAGTATTTTGGGACTTTCATTAAATTTTGTATGCATTTAGAAATTGGTAAGCTGCATTTTAATTAAACAAAAATGACAGAAGCAGCAGTAAAACTTTCATCATTATAATGTGTAAAAGACCATAAAATTGCATTTTTTAACATTTAATTGTGATTTCCTGATATATAAAGATATAGTATTTATATGCAATGAATATTTCCATTTTAATGACACAATCATATGATTGTCATGAGATTCATTTTCTCTGTTTAAATTGCTATATAAAAAAAACCATGAAAAAAGTGTAATTCTGCACAGAAATGCTATCACAATGTTGAAATATTAATGCTTCATATATCATCTTGATTTTAATGATTGTAACTTAATTGTTTTAATCTCATATTATTGGTGTTATTTATTTTCATGTCAAATGTTTATACCCTTTGGGACCATCAATTGGAATAAAATATTTTTCTCCTTAATAATTTTTTCTATAATCAGAAGCACTTTTATAAATTTTTTGTGCATACTAAATGTTATCCAAATCTGAAATGTCGCCCAATTCTGTATACTTTGCCTTGATTTGTCTGTCAACCAGAAAAATGGTTCCTGCATGATTAATGATGACATGAGGTTGCTGTGTATAATTTTCCTTTACTTTCATATTCCACATCAATATCTCTGTGCTCAGGTCTTATAAAAATTCCTTTTATCTTAGAATATTTTATTTTACCTAGATTAATTCAACAACATTATCATGTTTTTACCCAACGTTACCAGGATTGATCCAGAGTTATCATGACACATAAGAATAAACAAAGTAACAAATCAGTTAATCAGTTTTTCAGCGTATAGTTATTGTACAGGCTTACATTTATAATCAGTTTTGACGAAAATAATGAAGAGACTTTCTATCACAAGTAATATAAAGTCCATCAGCTACACTAGATAAAAAAAAGTTTAGAGTACCTATTTAATAAAATGTGAACTGCAACATGCAAAATGACATATTTGACTTTTTGAAGATCTGCTTGTTTCAGTCATTATGAAAACTGAATGTGAAAGACTGATGTCAACAGAAAAATCGACCAAGTGCATTTTTCATTTTATGTAAAAACATGCTTTCTTAATTACCATTTGCTGGTGTTTTAAAAAAATATACGAAAGGGGAAAAAAAACAAAGAAGTTTAAAAATGTGATTCATTAGCAGTTGTCAATGAATATGTAACAGTAAAGTATGTGTATAATTGAGTATTTTTATTGTACATTTTAGGGTGGTATTGGTTTCATTGCTATCAAAGGTGTACTAAAGATTTACTACAAACAACAGCAGTATTTACGTCAAGCTAACCGAGTTATAATGGACTATAAACCACCAGATCGTATACCCTCACCTCCATAATGTCATATCAATTGAACTTTGTATCTTAATTTGATGTACATAAATGAAACATTTTAACTTGAAGGAAATGTTATACTTAGTCAGTCACAAATGGTATCCATTGTTTTATTTTTTTCACTAAAATGTTTATTGGTAAATATGATTATATATTCATATCTACTTTGATATTTATCATAGAAAACGGTATGATATGAGAGCCATTTACTTTCCTTGGAATTCTAAAATGAAAAATATAAAGGTTTGAAAGAGCTATCACATGAGCCTGTTTTATTTGAATATTGTCTTGTGTATTTTGTCATGAACTTTTCGATATAAACTACAGCCTCACACTATAATAAAAAGTAAAATAACAAAAATACTGAACTCCATGGGAAAAATTCAAAACAGAAAGTCCTTCATCAAATGGCAAAATCAAAAGATCAAACAAATGGAAAACAAATTTATCAATGTAGACATGTCAATGACATCATATTGATATCACAGTGACATTTCTGAAATAAGTGTCCAGATTATATGATCCTATTCATTTGTCAATAAAATTACCAAAAAAATTGAAATTATTGAAAATTTCTATTTTTGCAATTCCAGGGGACAGATAACGACTCTTATCATACCTTTTTCTTTTGTCTGTTCAATTTTGTACAGTAAATTAAAGTTACTGGAACAAAAATGTCAACCAATATTGTATCAAAAGGCTCAAAGTTTATAAGGAATTTGAATTTATATCTTCCTATATAAAGGCATACTTAGACATGCCACTAGCATCCCATGGTAACTTATTTTTATACGTTTAGATTATAAATGGGTTGCAATTTCACCATCAATCGGTCAGCTAGTTTTTCTGTACCCAAAACCCTATGTTGAGACCAAACTTTGCTCTTGCTCCTTAATGCTGCGTTCTTATCGGAGAAGATTGGAATACCAATTTTCAAGTCTTTGGTTTGACATGGCCGGGGTTCCAACCCCAAACTGTGATACAGCAAAGAAAATTGTCAGACCTTTGAAAGAAACAGTGTATAACTCTGTTGGTTTATCTTTTAAAATTGTCATGCTTGTACATGTAATTGTACCATTCTGCAGATGTTTCACTGCCATGATTGTAGGTTGTTTATTGCGAAGGGTATTTTAACTTTTGTCAGCTCTTTTGTCCCATTGACAATAAATACAATAGCTATTATTTTCTGTGTAGTTCATTCACTAGGACATTTAAATTTCTTCTAAGATAAATCCATCACTCATTGATTAATTTACCTGAAGAAAAAATTATCTTCTGAGTAGAAGAAAATACGTGTATCAATTCACAAAACTGCTTGTGCAGTTGTATTTATTCAGTATCAATAATATATTTTCAATCTGTTCAACATAAGCACTGATTCAAACATCTGTGCAAGTTTTACAGGCTCAGAACTATTAAGAACCTCCTGGGATAGTTTAAAAAAAAGTAAAGGTTATATGCTTTGGGTCTTGAGTAACTAATATTTCTACATTAAAATGCAATTTGAAGCATAAAATATTGAATAAATATTTATTATGAATTGCCTTTCCCTCTAGACCTTTATAATTTGTTTCAATATTTAATAGATTTCTTGTCCAAATTTAAAAAGGTAATGTCTGACTCAGAATACTTATTAAGTTAAGTAGAACATCGATTTGTATAAGGCTGGATTTCAATTGTCATTTTATATTTAAATGCAATATGCACTTTATCACTCTTCATCTTGATAGATTAGATTGGATTTTAGTGATTAACCAAAGTGCTGACCATCTCACACTTTTCACAAGGTACTCCCTGATAACTGTTGCATTTGATGAAAAATTTAATAAATTGCATATTTCGGTACCCAAAATTTTTATACCTTTCTCGCGCTATGTTTATGATTGCATACTATGCAGATTGCTACAGGAATTTTTCCAAGGAGCAATGATATTTATAGTTGCAGACATATGAGAGAGATTTTCTTATGAGTTGTGATATATATGGATGCAATTATTAGAGAGAAAAAAAGTATATTTCCTGGTTAAAAGAATCTGAACCTAAATTTTAAATGTCACAAATCATTATTGTCATATCAATTTTAATCCATTGTGAAATTTGGCTGCCTCAACTTTGAAATACCTAGGATTGCCAAAAAAAAAATATTAAATAAAACCAGCAAAATTTTCATGTGAAATAAGAAGATTATGAATACCAAAACATTTGCTGCAATGAAAATAAACTTCTTTTTTCAGCTAAATATTCAAATTGTCAAACAAAAGTAATACCCCTTTTAATACAAGCTGACCATTAGAAATATTGAAATGAAAATATAGTTACACTGTATTACAATGTTTCCTAGTTTATTGGCAACAATTCTTTTATTCCTTGATTTTTACCTTCAGACTGTGTTAGTATGAAAAATTCCACAACTGTACACATTATAATGCAATTAAACGTATTACCTTAACATTTTAATCATATGTTTAAATGTGTATATTTTTTCAAGTTTTCTAAACTAAAGGGCATTTCTACTGGGGTTTAGTGATGATATTACCAATTAATAAATGTTAAAAGGCTTTCAAAGGCTGTTAGTTTTGGCTATGTTTCATGCTATATTCCTCTTCATTTTTGCTTCGTTTTATTTAAAAACAATTCTGTACATTTATGTTTTGTTTCTGATTGTTTATAAGAGCAGATTAGTCAATGCAATGCTAGAATATTCAGAAGAACATTTTATTGAATTTTCTCATGTATATGTATTATATATACATACTTGATTATATTTTATATATTTATTTATATATGAAAAAGAGAATAAGTTTAATCTATGTTATTAAAGTGATTTAACATGAAAAAATCATTAATAAAAAATGTATAGTTTTTCTCTCAGATTTTGATCAAACATTGTTTTTGGTGTTTTACTTTAAACGATGCATGTACATGTATTAAATTCAGAACTACGTTCTGTTACTGGTAATTAATTGATAAAAATCAATAATAAAAGTTTTCATTGCCAATATTTCTTATTATATTATTGCCAATTTGTCATTTCAAAATTAGCTAGGACTCTGAATGACCAAGCTTGAAAGAAAACAAAAAGGTTTGAGAGGATGAGAGCATTGTATTGATATGAGCATCAGTCATTTGACACAACAGGTATATAATAATCATTTGTTGTCATTTTGGCAAATTGTTTTATTTGGAAATTTTCCATAAGCTGTGACCTGTCTCAATGGTCTCATGGTAGAGTCCTCACCTCATGTGTGGAAGGTTGTTGGTGCAATCCTTAATCATCAGTCATTTGATACAACAGGTATATTATAATCAGTTGTGGTCATTTTGGAAAATTGTTTTATTTGGAAATTTTCAAAAGCTGTGAACTGTTTCAATGTCTGATGGTAGAGTCCTCACCTCCTGTGTGGAAGGTTGTTGGTTCAATCCTTAATCATCAGTCACTTGACGCCACAGGTACTATTATATTATAATCCGTTGTGGTCATTTTGGCAAATCGTTTTATTTGGAAATTTTCAATAAGCTGTGAACTGTCTCAATGGTCTGATGGTAGAATCCTCACCTAGTGTGTGGAAGGTTGTAGGCTCAATCCTCAGCTGAGTCAAACCAATGACTTGAAAATTTTTATTTGCAAGAGGCAATTAAGAGTAAAGACAATGACTGGTCAGCTCTTAGTCAGAATAACATGTCTGAAGAAGGCAACATATAAAAATAAGATGCGGTATGATTGCCAATGAGACAACTCTCAACCATAGACCAAATGACACAGAAGTAAGCAACTGTAGGTGACTGTACTTGTATTTTTTCCTGTTGACTGTAAACATGTGAACTAGTCTAGTACAAAGCAGGGTTCACATTCATAATGTTTTAACATGTTCTCGTCCATATGTGCATGCAATATTTGAAACTGGAGGTTAAAACACCAATTCATCAACATTGATAAGCTGTCTTCTTTTGATGATCAATTTTTCTTGATCAACTGTTATGATTTTTATACTATTGTAAAACAATGCCACAAAAAATTTTCTTATTCTCATTAAATGGTCTTTTTATAATTTTGTATTCTATATCTGTTGTAGTCATTACAAAACCATCAAATCTTTCTTAGGAATAAAACTTACAAAAATAAGCTAGCTGAACATGTAAATACTTAATATAAGCCTTTATTTTTTCCCATGGCAGTATTTATATAAAAATAAGATGTGGTATAGTTACCAAAGAGACAACTCTCCACCAGAGACCAAATGACATATAAGTTAACAACTATAGGTCACCGTACGACGTTCAACAAGCAAAACCCATACTGCATAGTCCGCTATAAAAGGCCCCGAAATGACAAATGTAAAACAATTCAAACGAGAATACTAATGGCCTGTTTATGTAAAAACAATGAACGAAATACAAATATGATATACAGCAACAAACAACCACCACTGAATTGCAGGCTCCCGACTTGGCACAGGCACATACAGAATGTGGCAAGGTTAAACTGTGCACTTTTTTACTTGTAAATGCCAATGTATAACTTCATAAGGACCAGAAGAACACCAACCTAGAAGATATATAACCCTAAAGGAAAGAAATCGCTAGTTTTTGTCTCACCTGTGACAAAAGTCAAACAAGCTTGCACACACTGAAATGTCTCGCCTTCTTTACTGACCATTGATTTTATGTTGATAGTCCTAAATATAAAGCTTTACTACAACTATCACAAAAAACTTAACATGATCCAAGAAAATGAGGTCAAGGTCAGATAAATCAAACTGGAAATACATGTACATCTTACAATCATTCCATACACCAAATATGCTTTAAATATAGTTGACCTATTGCACATAGTATATAAGAAACAAACTTAACCAGGAAAACTTAACATTGATTACTTCATAACATAGGGCATCTATATACAAAGTATGAAGGATCCAGGTCTTCTACCTTCTGAAATATTAAGATTTTATAAACTTTGTTAACGCAGCCGTGCCCCCTGCTGAATCACTATCCCGATGTCGAGTTTTCTGTGACAGAAGTCGCAGGCTCGACAAAAATGAGAGACATAGGGATTACAATCTGGCTGTGGCTTAAACTATGCTTCATATTTCAGAAGGTAGAAAATCTGGATGATTCATATATATATTTCAGAAAGTAGAAAATCTGGATGCTTCATACCTTGACTGCAGATACATTTGTACCTTGTGCTACGAAGTTTTGGTCTGTCACATGTCCAGTGTCCTTGACCTCATTTTCATGGTTCAGTGACTTGCTTGAAAAAATCTATTTTTTTTGTCATGTGAAATACTCACTTATATTGAGTAATAGGATAACTATATCTGGTATATGGGATCCTCGCAAAGTCAACCTATCCGTCAGACAGAGTTCACCTGACCTCAACCTCATTTCATGGATCAGTGATGAAAGTTGAGTTTTCATGGTTAAGTCTGTATCTCATACATTATAAGCAAAAGGTCAACTTTATTTGGTGTATGAAATGATTGCAAGATGTACATGTCTGTCTGGCAGGGTCATAAGACCTTGACCTCATTTTCAAGGATCATTGGTCAATGTTATGTTTTCATGGTTTTGTGTGTTTATCAGATACTATAAAGTAATAGGTCAACTTTATTTAGTGTATGGAATTATTGTAAGGGGTACATGTCTGTTGAGCAGGGTTTATGACATTGACGTCATTTTATGATTCATGGGTTAATGTTAAGTTTTTGTGGTTTGGTCTATTTCTCCAATACTATAAGCAATAGGACCACTATATTTCATGTATGGACTGATTTCAAGGTACTCATGTCTGTCTGACATAGTTCATCTAACCTTGACCTCATTTTCATGAATCGTTGATATTAATGTTGAGCGTATGTGATACATGTACTTGTAATAAAATCTTCAAAATTAAAATCGACCTTTCTACATAAAATCAATCATGACAAGTAAAGCAGGCGAGACATTTCAGCGTGTTCACTCTTGTTCAAGAAAATGTCTGGCTAACACTTATAGATATATAGTTAGATTTTGCAGGTAGATATCCTATTTAGAAATTTTGTCTAACGGGCATATATTTTTCAAATGGATTTTGTGTTCACTTTGAATATCAAATTTTCCCAACAGTAGAACATTC